CGGCGGAGTCCTAACGAAGCATGCCCGACTCCGGAGACCAGGTTCAGTGACACAGATCTAAGTTTATTGTGTAAGTGTTGCAGTATATATAACATTTTGGACCAATCAGAAGTTTACACAATCCTTAGGGCAGCCAATAGCAGGAAAGATCAGGGTACTATGTAGGGGCTCTAGGAGGTTTGCTCAGGCGGGCGCTGCCACTTCCTGGTGTGCCGAGGAAGCTTGTACAGGCGGAGTGCGCTCACGCCATTGCATCCGCCACTGCACTGAGATAAATCTCCTGAGCTCTTCCCACATCTATTGGGCCCAAACTGTATTTCTCAGTGATGGTCACAGCAATACCTCCCCCCCCCACATGCTCTGCTGCAATGTGATTGCCACTCCACCATCAAGAGGAAGTCCTATTTTCACCATCCCCTTGAATCTGGGCATGGCCAAGATGCCTGGGACCAATAGAACACAGTGTCGGTTCCGGGCATAGCCATTAACCAGCCTTCAGATTTCACTTTGGACCCTAAACACTGCTCTGAGGGCAGCCAGCCCCATGTAAGAAGTTCATCTCCTCAAGGACTGTGGTGCTGTGAAAAGTCTGAGTCACATGGAGAAACAACAGCCCGGCTATGCTCCCAGGAGACAGGCAGCTATGGAGTGAGCCGCCACTGACACCCAGCCCCACTGACATCGAACTGGACCTGGGAGAGACCCCTAGTGACAATCACTCACCTGAGGGTGAGCAGGACACAGAGGCAGGTGAGGCAGGGACGGTGCGAGGGTGCTGGCTAACCCCCCATGGATAACAATGACAAACTCTGGGCAAACGGTTTTTGAAAACACAACTATATGAAGGCACTGGAGAGCGACCAGAAGCAGGCAGAATCTTTCAAAGAACAGACCAAGGTGTGAGACTAAGTTTATATGGCTTTTCCTCTGTGTAGGGAGCGGCTACAAGGTTAAGCCTTGGACTGACCTATTGGCAAAGCCACAAACAAAGTCCCAGCTTAGAGGGCACAGCCCTCCTGGCATAATTAGGCTTGACCTTATGACACTCCCTAGATCCTTCCTAAATACCTAATGGGCTGTGGCAGGTGCAGCGAGTGCTGCCAAAACAAGTGAAACTCACAAGAACATTGTAATTATGGTGACCACTACCTTGTTTACCTCTGGCTATAAAATAAAGGCTCAGCTTGCCTTCTGGGTCTCTCTCTGTGTGGCCTTAGCCAGGCACAGGCGATGCACCTAGACCCAGCTTATTCTCTTTGTCTTTTCTTTCTTTTTTTAAAAATATATTTTATTGATTCTTTACAGAGAGGAAGGGAGAGGAATAGAGAGTTAGAAACATCAACGAGAGAGACACATCGATCAGCTGCCTCCTACACCCCCCCCGCCCCCGCACTGGGGATGTTCCCGCAACCAAGGCACATGCTCTTGACTGGAATCGAACCTGGGACCCTTCAGTCTCCAGGCTGATGCTCTATCCACTGAGACAAACCGGTTAGGGCTCTTTGTCTTTTCTAAATCCTTCACCATCCCTCCTCAGGCTCACTGTGCCCTTCGCTGTGCTGGCCCGGCACACCTCTGGGCACAGGCCTCTGTCCATGTAACAAGGGGCAAGGTGAACTCAAGCAGAAAACCAGTCACTGACTCAGATTATCAGACACCAGAGCTGGGGCTGCGAGAGCAGTCGGAAATTGAGAGGAGAGAGCCCATCATGGAGGGAGCCCCAGAGAAAGAGGATCAAATTCAATCTCCTGAAAGAAAAAGAAAGCTCTCCACACAGGACTCTGTAGCCACTGCTCATGTCCCAGATACTGAAGGCAAAGCGAGCTGGCTGCTAGCACTTCTGTCACGCAGCAAGAAAGGAGAGAGGTGACGAGGAGGGCATGGCACGTCCTTTAAAGGAACAACTCAAAAGGGGCTCAGATCACTTTCACTCGTGTGTATGGGCCACAACTTAGTGCCACAGGTGCAGGGACGGTTGAAGAATGTTGTTTTAGTGGAACACTCTTGAATCCACTTCAAGTCAGGGGTTCTCCAAGGAAAGGAAGAAGAGGAGAAGAGGCATAGAGAGCGCTGGCTGGAGTCTCTGCCACTCCAGCTCTGTGGGCGGTCATATGATTGTGTGGTGACTGGAGCTGTGGCGTCCACATTTCGGTCATGAGGGGAGACAGTACTAATACACTGAGGATGGAGCACCAGCCAGAGATAAAGAGCCTGGACCCACTATGACAGCCTGTCCTCTAAGGCAGCACTGTTCACATCTAAATATTATGTGAGCCACGTGTGTCATTTCACATTTTCTAGCAGCCACATTTCATAAGTAAAGAGAAATGTGTGAATTTACTTTTACATATATTTTATTTGACCCAATATATGCAAAATATTATTGTTTCAACATGTAATCAACATGAAACGTATTATTAGTGAGATTTTACTTTTTTACAGTGGATAAAAATTCTGTACATCCATCTATTTCCTAGCTTTGTCCATAGAGAGGGGGTAGAAGCAACAATATTTCTATAGCAATCAGCCCACCTAGCACCCAGATCACGATTCTTTAATACTGTCTCCACGAAGAGGAACCGGAGCTCCTTGAAGAAAAGGCTGGTACAGGGCTGAGGCAGGGATAGTACAAGGTGAGCCTGGAACATCTTATTCCAGAAAGCAAGGAGGTGCTCAAAGGATGAGGGGACACATGGGAAGGGCTTAGGAGCCATCTTGAAAGGGTTCCCATTGGCCTAATTGAGGACAGCTCGAGCATCAACTGAAGTTATAGCAAAGAATCATAATGCACTGAATGAAATAAGAATTCAGTAGTCCATGCTGTTATACATCAATTAGCAAATACATGCATGATGGAGGGGAGAACAGCTCTGCCTCA